TCTCTTTCATTTTCTTCTTCATTCGTTATATATTATATATTTCTATCATTAATCTTAATCTTTATTTTTATTTATTTTTTTTCATTCACTTATATTATTATCATTATTTAAACTTATCTTTTATTTATTAAGAAATATAATTTATTAAGAAATATATTTATATTTATTTTTTTTTTCCATTCATGTTTTTATTTTTTTTTTTTATAATATAAACATTTTTTTTTAATATGTATATTTAAATACAAATATATATGATATATATAGATATTATGTAATAATGAAGTTTTGTAAAATTGTATTTTAGAAAATATTTACTTCTATAAATATGAATCTATAAAAATTTATTATACATGTTATTTGAAATGAGATGTATTTTGACGTATTTATTATATTTATACATTAATTAATAAATAAATTACAAATTAATAATCCATTCTTCATTTATATAAATTCAAAATATTTAATAGAAATTAGAAAATTTCTCAATTTAATAAAATTTCAAGAAGTAATTATATGTATAATTGGTAGTATAATATAAAAGTATAAATATGGACATAAACATTGAAATTGAAGTATTCATTGTATCAATTTTATCATTTAGCATGAAAATATTATCAAATTCTATAAAATTATAAAATAAAAAATAAATTAGGTTATTAATTGATAATAATGCAAATATACAAATCAATAACATATTTTCTTTATTTGTTTCATTATAATAGGTTAATAGTACTTTATCTGTTTCATTATAATAGGTTAATAAACTTAATAAATAAAAATGACATCAGTAACAGAAAATACAAAGGACAAGGGACAAGAAGATCCAATTAGATGTATATTTTTTTCGGAATTTCATCATATTGTGGGTCCAATGATTACTTGTCAGGTTAACAGATGCTACATATAATCTATAATTTTAAATATTATTTGGGTATTTTTTTTTTATTTTAAATTGTTTTTTTATCCATAATTTTTTAAAATTATTATTTATAATGATATTTTCTTAATTAGGTTCCAGATAATTTTATTTCAAAGGATATATTTGATACTGTCAGTGTTTATATAATACCAAAAGCAAAGTTACAACGCAGTACTATTACAGTGTAAGTTTAATTTAAAAAGTACATAATTATCTTACTTAAGTCATTAAATTATTTATATTTTACAGAACATTAAAAGATTATAAAATACTAGGATTTCCAGTGAAAATTGATGACAAAAAATATGCAAGAAATGCATTTTATTTTAATTTATGCTTTGTATGTGATGCAGAAGCACGTACTGTGCATTATGAACCTGTTGTAAAAAAAATGTCTGATTTCCTAGTAAGATTTTACATCTAGATAATAATTATTTTTATTAATTTTTTTGAAGTTAACTCAATTTTTTAGATGGCTCTTGAAGAGGAAAATTGTTTTTTATCTGCCTCAGAGGATAAAACAAGGTTAGCAGAAATGCTACAACAGGTAATGCACGATTTGAATTTACATAAGATGTGTACATTAACAGGTAAGTTAAGTAAAATGTGTTATAAATAATAATTTTGAATAAAAATATATAAATAAATTAAATAGAATAAATTATTTTAATAGAGGGGACAATGACATCTCATTTGAAAGTTATAAAATTAGCACCTGAACCAAAACCAGTTCTTGATCATCAGGTACCAATATTTTTGGAAGGCCGAGAAACATTTCAAACTGATCAGTGGGATTTAACCACTCAGCAAGTATTGCCATATATAGATGGATTCAATCATGTTGCTCGAATAGCAGCTGAAGCAGATGTAGAAAACAATCTGGTTAAAAGCTGTGTACAGAATCTTATGTAAATATATAAATATAAAATTTTATTTTTTAAAATAAATATGATATATTTTCAATATTAATATTATTTCAATTTTTAGTTATTATGGTGTTGTAACTTTGATTCCAATATTTCAATATAGCAATGTTTATGCTGCTACTCCAAAATTAAGAGAATTAGCCGAAAATACGAAGTTACAAGAACGATGTATAACTTATACTTCAAAATTTCGTAAGTTCTATATATAAGTTTATAATAATAAAAAAAACATTCTACAAAAATTTATTTTTAGCTAGACAACCTGCATATCTTAGAGATATATATCGAATGTATGCAAGTATGACACATGGTAGTAGTATGAGAGATTTGTGTCAACGTCTTAATCCTCAGAATTTAAGAATTAATGAAAGGCGATTAGTACAATTTGGTCTTATTGAAGGTTTTATTCGTAGAGTATATAAGGTTGGTTAAAATTATTCTTATTTCTTATTCTTTGAAATCCTTATGTCAATTTCAATAATTATTTATCTTTGTTAATTACTAATTACTTAATTATTACATACAATTTTTTTAATTTGTAGTATCCAATATATTTATCAGGCTCTCCTTGTAATGAAGAAACGAAGAACAATCCAGTTTATAAATATTTTACAGGAGCATATAGTCTTGATGAAATTTGCTGCAGTACAGGTCAATCAGCTGCGCAACTTGAAGATATTGTCGAACGCGATCCAAATGTTATTATGTTATGGAAGTAATATTTAAAAAGAATGAAATTTGATTTTTGTAATTTTGATAAATGTAATAAAATTCATTCATATAAGTAGAAATATGATAATACGCAGGATATATTATATATAATTTATAATGAATGATAAATAAATAAGTTATAGTTGCAAAGTTATTGTATATTACTGATCAATCGTTTCACTTCACTGATATACATTTCAGGCACTTTGTTCTTTCTCATTTCATCACATTTTTTATCCATTGTTTCGCGCAATTTTTTCTTACGCATCTCAGCTTCTGTACGAATTGCTAAACCTTCTTCAAACATTCTTTGTCTTGCTTCGATACGTTCTCTTTCTTTATTATTTACCTAATAAAAATATATAATATATAATATAATATAATACAATATATTTATTAATTTTAAATTCTAACATGCACGAGCATATTCAAATTTATTTGTTTTATTATAAAATATATAAAAATATAAATAAATTAACAAACCTGTTTTAGAATTTCACTTCTATGAATTAATGCTTGTCTCTGTTTCTTTTCAAGTTCTTTTTGTTCTCGACAGAAGGCTTCCCTCTGAACGCGTACAATTTTTTCAAATTCACGTCGTTCCCTTTCAAGTTCAATTGCTTCCATTGTTCGTTTATTATTTATTTGTTTCTCTCTTTCTTTGATAAGTAATTTCTGTGCTTCTGCTTTTTTTAAAGCTTCTTCTTTTTCTTTTTGTCTCCATCGTCTCTCTACTTCTTCTTGAATTCTTGCAGCAGTCAACTCATCGAGTCGTTCCTATAAAAATAAAAAAAATCATTATTAAAATTTAAATAGAATTATACATAGAATTTTTTATTTATTAATATATTATTATATAATTGTTTATTAATATAATATTTTAATGTAAATATTTAAATTTAACATTTATGATATGAATATATAACTAATATTTAAAATATAATAAAAATATTTTAAATAAATTTATATATATTATATATAGATTATAAGGACATATATATTTTTGCTCATGTTATAAATAAAAAAAAAATGTTAAACATAGTAAAATTTTACTCAAATAAAAACAATAATTCTACTATATATATTTAATAATTTAAAAAAAATTGTTTTAAATTGTAATATCAAAATAGAAGTAAGAATTATAACATAAGTTATAAAATTAAAAATAAAAAGATAATTAAAAAAAAGTAAATAATCATATTTAAAATTAAATTATTATACTTGAATATCTTTTTCTTGCAACTTCTGTGTTGCAAGAGTTTCTTTGGTTTTTTCTTTTTTTAATTTTTCCAATCTTCGTTCTTCTTTCAGTTTTGCTTCTCTTTCATCTTTATAGCGTTGATATTCTTTTATCCTATAAAATAATGTATTGATATAAAATAATTATATTATATATATATTATACTATAATAATATTATTAACAGTTAATTAAAAACTTAATAATTTAATATATTCTACCTAAGATCAATGATTTTATTTTCTTGTTCTTCCATAGCTTTTAAGTGTTTCAATTGCTCATTTCCTTCAGCAAGTTGTTGTCGAATTAGCGCGTTTTCAATTTCTTTATTTCGTAGTTTTGAAATTTCTTCTTGTTGCCAATTAATATTGCTTAAATTAATTAATCGACTTTCTTCTTGCTTCTTTTCAAATTCTAATATCCTATTTTCTTCATTTTCTTTTATTTGATCCATTAAACTACTAGCAAATTTTTGTCGTTTTATTGCTTCTTCTTGTTCCTTTCTAATTTCTTCTTTGATCGCCCATCTTCTTTCGTTTTCCATCATATCATTCAGACGTTTTTCTTCTTCTTCCATCTCATGCTTAATTAACTTCTTTTCTTCTACCTGAAAAATTATATACTTAATAAATATTATGCAAAAATTTATACAAATTTAGCTATTTAATTTATCAGAATTTATTATAATATATTTTAATAATTAAATTAGAAAATTATTATACTTTTTTATTAATTCTTTAAATAAAATTATAAATTTTACCTGGGCATCTCGAATGGCTCGACATTTAGTTTCTAAGATGATTCTATTGCATTTTTGAATTTCTTCCTCCTGTTCAAGTCTCATGTTCTCTGCTCTTTCAAGGACATACTTCGCTCTTCTTCTGGCTTCTTCTTCAATTTCGATCAATTGCGGACATTTTTCTCGAGGCCTTTCTTGATCTAATTTACGAAATTCTTCTTTTCTCTCCATACTCTCTTTTATAAGTCTTTCCTTTTCTTCTTTCTCTGCTTTAAGAGCTGCTTCTTGTTCTTCCTTCGTCAAACGATTGTATTTCTGATATTCGTCATATTCTTTTTGTGTCAAAGTTTTTGAAGGTGCCGGTCTTTTTTTCTTCATAGCATGAACTTGTATTTTCATTTTAACTTTAGTTTTTTCCTTACCTAACTAAATACAATAATTTATTATACTATTATTATAATATATACAATCAAAATATTAATTGTAAATTATTATTAATTATTAAAATATTCATAAATACATTATTATTCAAATTTAAATATAACAATTTTTATATATTTTATGATATTTTAATTTAATTTTACTTAATTTATTTAATATTAGCATAGTATTTACCTTCTCCTCTTCTACTGAATCCCTACATTCTGCAGTTTTCGCACAAGGACTGCGATTTGAACAAACTTGAACTTTAAATTTCGATTTATTTCGATTTGTTGGATTTCCAAATGATTGTGTGTAAGTTGTTTTTGACGCATTATTTCCCACTCTTTGTACCATTTTAAATTTTTAAAATTTCTTTTTTATTTTGTTAAAATAATATCTTCTGTTGTTGTTTAGAAAAATTAGAAAAATATTAATTCTTAAATACTATTAAAGACAATTTCTTGACCAAATATTGATTTATTCTTGTGATTTGATAAAATATGTAAATCTTCTTCGCGTTTTTTTCTTTGAACAAATAATTATCACAAAGTATCAATTTGAAATATTCTTGCGGTTTATTTCAATGATTTATAACTGAAGATATTTATGTTATTGTTGCTGTTATAAATGTTGATTAAATAAAAATAGAAATAGATTAATCAGAAAGAATTGATTCCAAGGATTGATATGAAACAAGTTTCTTCATTGTTTACAAATGGTAAACTGACGATTGCATCGTTTGTTTGATCAATAGTAATATGACAACATAATTCAATTTTGTTACATAAAGAGTACCTTTTCTTCTTTTTATTAAAATGTAATTAATTTTATCAAAATGATCAAATAAAATTTTGATTGATGTAAAAGAAGAAAATTTTATATAAACTAATTTAATTTTATTTCTAAAAAAATTTTTATTTTAAAAAATGTAGAATATATATATATATATATGATATAATTATTATAATAGTTATATTTGATAATCTAAATGCTAAAAAAAAAATTAAATAGTAAACAATAATATTTCAAATAGTATATATAAAGTATATAAAAAGAAAACAACAAGAAAAACAACAAAATAAAAAAAAAGAAAAAGCAAAGAATCATAAATTTTTATTTTAAGATTAGTCTCATGAATGGCATATTCAATTTGCATTGATTTGATTTTATTACTCGAGTAAAAAAATAGAAAACCCACAAGAAAAAGTATGATGGGGTGATTCACCCCTTTTATTCGTATATACGTTCGTTGCCGAGTTTCCCTATGTCGTCGACTTTCCTCTAGGTGGGAAAATGCACATATGACTATATGTCGTTTGTTAAGTCTTCATATTGCAGACAAAATATACAATTTATATTTTTAAAATATCGAAATATAAAGAATATTTATTATTTATTATTATTATTTATTATTGGATTTTGAAATACAACTAAAATAAAATTTCATCGATAAAAGAAAATTTACTTTTTAAAATCTGAGGATAAGATCGATGTTAATAATAAATAATATCACAATATAAATTGATCTTTGTATTGAACTTATTATTAATTAAATTTTCAAATCGAAAATACATTAATTAATAATAAATTACAAATATTAAAGAATTATAATAATCAAATATATTAAATAAAATATATTCTGCATTATGATAAACACTTTACATATTACATCTAATATAAGTTTTGAAATAATATTCAATATTTCTATTTCATACTTTTAAAAGTAAAACCTTTTAAAGCAAAGCGTTATCATGTTTTATATAGTTAGTAATAACTGTCCTCCGATGAGTTCTCGTGGGAAATATACAACACACCGATTATTTGGCGAATCGATTTTGCAAGGGGAACTTTTATATTTAAGCATTAAATAGTGTCTGAAGAATAAAAAAGTCGATCAATATCATATACATACAATGATCATTTTACACGTAGCAAGTTGCGTATTGAGATGATACTATCTCGATATAATCAAAGAAGACACATTTTTTTTCAATTCACTCTTAAACGCGTTATTTATGGTAAGAAATACAGCAAATATAGCAACAATATTAATGGTTACTATATATAGTAAGTATGTAACCGATGAACTTGCAACTATAGAAATGCAATAATTACATTGTATAGTATATAACGCTGAGTTATTTTATTTTCAGGTTCAGTAATAATGATATAATATTCCATGAAAACTTTCAATAAATATATTTTCTTTTTAATTGTAAATATATGTATATATGATTGTATAGTAGATTTATTATATATACTAAAATTTATTTATTATAATAAATAATAACATAATATAAATTTTTATATGTATTGTACAAAAAGCAACAAAAAAAAAGTATTTAATTTGAGAATAATTTTTGTTAAAAAAAATTAATCTCTAATTAAATGATTCTAATAATTTGATAATAACAACAAGAGATAGTCATATAAAATAATTAACGATAATCAGCTAAAAATAAATGATAAAACTAAGAAAAATTTCTAAATGAACTAACTTTCTAAGAAATATATCAAAACTGGTATTATATAATTTCAAAATATAATATATTATAGTATATGTTGCTGTTATAAAAAATTTTTTTTTGAATCACATATTATGTTTAAATCTTCCTTTTTGGTATAAATGCACATTCTTGTGTGTATATATTATATAAAAAAAAAAGAAGAGGGAAAAGTAAACCAATCTGTAACTACCACGTGCATCAAGTTCCAACAATTCCACTCTTCAATCTGTGATGAACAAAGATAGTACATATGTATCTAAGAACGAAAAATAGCTTTCGAAGGCCAGAGAAATATTTATTGTCCTTTTTCCTGCATTGCCAGTAAACATTATATTTCCAAGCTGCGCCAAACGATTGCGTTCTAGTCGACCAATTGCGAAGGGTTTCCCTAATAAGAATTTTTCTAGAAGTGGGAAACATGAGCGTACGTGTAAGATTCCATGCTTTCTGCCTTCACTTTTCGCGCGACACTCGTCTCGCTCTACTTTGATACACGTGCCACCTGAATTAGTTCAATTTAATGATTTTATTACACTTATTGTTAGATAAAATCACATTCTCGTCGAAGAAAATACGATTTTTCTTTTACAATTTTCAATTGCACGATATTTATTTTTCAATTAACAATTTATTCGATTTTTAACAATAACGATTTTTAACTCAGAATAGAATTATTACATTTGCATTAAAACGCACTCAAGATTGTTCTTTCTTATGTATTTTTTTTTTTCATTTTTAATTATGAATATGAGTTTAATCATGAATATGAGTTTGAATTTAAAGAAGTAAAAGAATTAAATTGCATCCATTTTCTTTTCACATTTTTGAATTATTCATTTATAAAAAATTGAATTATAATCTATTAAATTATAATAATTTATAAAATTGCACGAGATTATTATTGCATCTTTTTTTATGTTTTCATTCTTTAATTTAATTTTTTGAATATGTGATTAAAAATTGTGAAATATAATTATACAATTTTGTGAACTGCAAATGATATTTTTTACTGTGATATTTAATATTAGTGCGCGCGTGTTTTAATAAATAAATATAATAATAAAATTTTAATAATAAAGTTTTAATAATAAAAAAAAAAAATTATTTCATGGGATCAGAAATGATGAACAGATGAAGATGAAATAATTAAATATAATTAAATTATTTAATTACATGAAATGTACATATATTTGGTGAATCGTGAGTATGAAGAAAATTAAGAATTACACATAAAAAATAATATGTAAATAATATGTAAATAAACACACATAATATTAAACCACGTGCTATGATAAAAATTAATTATTGAACAAAAAATTTATATAATTGATATTTAATTGATATCTTATTGAATTAAAACTACAATATTTAAAATTTTATTCTGATGCAAATAAAAAATTCATTTCAATATAATCGTTCCAAGATAAAGAATTATAGAATAGAAAATATTTTTCGAAAGATATTTTTCATTTTTTGAATATTATTTTTATATTTCTTACGAGGACTTAAAATTATATAAACCAAAGTGAAAAAAATATAATATACTTGTTTGTTTTAAATTAGTTTGTTATAAATTATAGAATTTTTATGAATTTTTTCTATATTTTTTATCTACATAAAATTAAATATAGTAATGGTCCATGTTAAATATTATAAATCTAATGTAATAAACGTACGAAGAAATGAGAAAAAGAAAGCACATAATATGTAATATTTACATTTTTATGATAAATAATACAATTCTTAAAACAATTTGATTTAAAATGACAAATTTATTAAATTAAGATGCAAAAAAAGTGGAAAAAAAAAACGAATAATTTATGATGAATCAGAAAATTAGATATATTAATTAAAAATATTATTTTTTTAAATTTAATTGCTTTTTTTTTAAATTTATAACTTTATAATTATTCCTCAATTTTGATAAATATTTATAAAACATATATTATAAATATATTGATGTTTGTAAGAAACTTTTACAAGATTTATTGAAAATGGATGCAATTTATTTATTCTTTATCATTAAACTCGACTATCATTTTGTTTACTTTATTATTTTACATTATTATTCCAAATTATTAATTCCATCCAAATTATTAATAACATCAAAATCAAATTAAATAAAAACATCATTTTACTCATAAAACATTTTCATCCAAGAGTCGAATATATTTAAAAAGTAATCATTAATCTGTCTCATATCGACTTAAATAATCGATACGAAGGACGTATCCCTCTTCTCTTGTTCTGTCACGAACAAACCACTATTACTTCCACTATACTTTGAAGAAAGAAAATGAAAGAACTTGATAGTTATCAATCGAATAACTCACCGAAAAAACAAAGGGAAAGATCGAAGAAGCAGAAATCTACGTATAAATTATTCACAAAGGACTGCTGGCCAAAGGTAATGATATCTCGCGATAGTATCGTTTACAAGAAGATCAAAGATTCCTCCGGAAGTCCAAGTTTGTCATTTATCGAAGAATCTTCGAGTGATTCCCGTGGCAAAGAAGAAAAAAACAACTGTGAACATTTATATTGCGAAAACGGGACGAATTTCGAGGAGGAACAAGATGTCTGTTTAATTAGTAGTTCCAGCGAGATTCAAAAAAGTTTCGAACTACGTGATATTTTGAGAAAAATCAGAAAAAATTCTGATGGATTGATCGATGAAAGTGAATTCGATTGTTTGTCGGAAGATAAGTATGATCAGCAGGGACCCATTTTCGTTGATCTAACGACCGATGAAAAGAACACGTGGAAACAAACGATTTTGAAGCAGTTCTGCGATGTGAAGACGATCACGGTTAATGAAATGGAAAACAGAAACGAGAAGTGTTCTACAGACGTTGTACTAGGTACAAAATTAGTAATATCAATCAAATTGAAGAATTTGTTAATTGATCAATTATTTGATTAATTT